GCACTTCCAGTTTCTTCCTTTGGGACAGAGCATAGAAACTCAAGCTGCTGCTGCTCAAATGCAGACCTGAGAGAGATTGAAAGGTCTGTGTGCCTGCAGTGGGGCACTTCAGAAATGGAAAGGAACGCTCCATGTGACTGCTTGAAACTCCGTGTGACTCAGGTTTCCATTCGGATGAAAGGTGTTTGAACAGCAGGCTTGAGTTTTTCTGCTCCATCTGAGTAAAAGGAAAGAGAGGCTTGTTTTCGTAGGATTGCTCTCAATAAAGTCAGCTCACTTTGGAGGCTTGTTTTTTGCAGGATTGCTCTTAATAAGAGTGAGGCACACTTTGGCTCTGTTTTCATCAGGAAGGGGCTTGAGAAATGGCTTTTTCCTGGTGAAAACAAGCCTCCAAAGCGAGTGTGCCTCACTCTCTGGCTCCATGTTCAACAGAAAAAGCCATTTCTCAAGCCCCTTCCTGGCGAAAACAGTCAAAGAGTGAGGCGCACTCGCTCTGGAGGCTTGTTTTCATCAGGAAAGGGCTTGAGAAATGGCTTTTTCTGACGAAAACAAGCCTCTGTGTCATGATGCTGATGGAGTGAGCAGCGGTGGCCAGAGCAGACCCTTCCCTGTCTCTTCTCACTTCCCCAAAGCTTTCCTACCCTAACCTCCGTTCTCTGCTACCACGTGCAAGGCAACAAAAGATGCTTGTGGGACTACCAGTAAAAAAAAAAGTTCAATCAGACCTTCCAATTTTGTGAGATCTTTTTTTTTTTCGCGAGAAGTTGGAAGGTCGGCTTGCTCTTTTTTTTTTCAGTCCCACAAACTTCTTTTGTTGCCCTGCACATGGAGAATGGAGCTGGAAAGGAGGTTAGTGAAGGAATGTGGTTGCCCTGGGGTGGGGGTTAGGATTTGGCATTGTGGATGCCCTAGGGTGTGGTAGGGTTTAGGATTTGGCATTGTGGATTGTGGAATGTTTGTGCTCTGGTGGGGCTGTTCAAAACACAGGGAATCCCTGAGTTTTGAAGCACCCTGTGTGACTGCACGGAAAGGAGCGCTCCGTTTCTCAAGTTCCCCATTCCAGGCATACGGAGCTTGCAGTCTCTTGTCAGATCTCCATTGGGATAAAAAGTATTTCAGTGCCTATAGAGTACTTCCAAATGAATGCTTCCTCCAGAGGCTTGTTTTCACCAGGAAGGGGCTTGAGAAATGGCTTTTTCTGGCGAAAATGGAGCCACAAAGTGAGGCAGAGCTTCCAATTTCCCCAAGGTCTCCGTCCTGGTGAAAATTGTTCCGGCAGTGGTGGAAAGGAGTTGGGGGTGGGAGCAAACCCACTAGAGTTCAGGCTCCCATTCTCTGCAAAAGAGGATCGGTGCCTGAACTTGCACGATATTATGGGCACCCAGGAGCTTCCATTGACTCTCCTCTCCCTCAAAGATAGAAACTTCGGCAGATAGGAGACTGATCTTTTCAAGGTAAGTGAGTCCTGCGCAGCAGGAAGGAAGGGGGAAGCATGAGGTATCTTAGTGGCTCGGGGAGGCCTTGGGGGCCTATTCCATCACTAGGCCCCCCCATGGCCTTCCCCACCCTGAGATACCTGTGTCTTAGCGAGCAATGGAGTGATCTCATTTGAAGTATGAGATTCACTCTACGACAGCGGTTCTCAACCTATGGGTCACGACCCCATTTGGGGTCGATCAACCATTTCACGGGGGTCACCAAGCAAGGCTGTCCGCCATTTTTTCCCCCTTTTCCGGCGGGTGCCTTACCTCCCTTGGGCTGGGCCAGCTGGTGGCCCAGCCAGTGGTCAGCCTGCTCCATCTCTGCCGCTTGCCAGCTACGCCTCGGCCGGTGCAGGGGGCGGCACCATGCATGTGTGGCGCTTCCGGGCAGGGAAAGTCCTCGACTTACGACCGGTTGGGTAGTCCTCAACTTACGACCGGTTTAGTCCTCGACTTATGACCGGTTGGGGGGTCGCAGCATTAAAAAGGTTGAGAACCACTGCTCTACGAGTTTTCGATTTACAAGTGGAATGGGCAGGCTCCATTTCACTTGTAACTAGAGGACTACATATACTCTATTGTGACTTCTACCTCTCATCTTGATTTATTTAGTCTATTGAAGAGGGGTTGACTGGATGAAACAGGAAATGTTGATGCTAGTTGATATCTCAATAGCTTTCAGTGTTGGTAACTTTGTGGCCTAGTTTGTGAGTTAGAGTTTGGTATCGTATTAGAGAAATTCCACTCTTTGCATAAGAAGTGTGGTTACGTGACAGTCTAGATATAGTAGTTCACATGCTAGTTGCCTCGAGTTCAGGTTGCTAAGAATACCTCCTGTCCATCCACAACTTACACTGTACATGAAATAACTGTACTGACTATAGTTTGCTCATAAGTGGGCTTAAGGTTGCTGTTGACATTCAAGACTCCAAACAGTTTAGTATAAACTAGTAGTATAAAACACAGAAAATAGAAATGTGTAACTGAATGAAGCGGAGCAACTCTCTGGATGTTTTAGTACTTGGATAAAGTTGTAGTGGGTATGCTTACCAAATTTACAGATGATATATAGAATAGAATGTTCAATACTGAAGAAGACAGAAATAGTATTCCTAATAATTTTAATAAATTTAGAGATAAGCTGAAAGTAACAGAACAAAATTTGAGAAATGCAAATGTAAAGACATAGAGTGAAGATACTTAATAAAATAATAGCACTTGCAAAACAAAATGTTGGAATAATTGTTGATTAGAAACGAATGTGAGTCTGCAGTATAATATAATGTGTCTATAAAAAAGCAATTTTAAATCAACAGAGGTAACATTTCTCAAACACTTGGATGTCATTCCTCTATATTCCACCTTGAACTTTGTATCCAGTTCTGAACGGCCACACTTTAAAAAGAATGCAAAGAAATTGGAACAGAACTGCAGATGGGCAACGAAGTTTGTCAGAGGATTAGAAATTAATTCATGTGAAGGGGAAGGAACTGACTATGTTTAATCTTGAGTTTGAGAAAAATGGTAGTTTCACTTTTCCAATATCTGATTGAATCAGTATTTCTTCTCTTTTATTTATTCATTCAATTTATATGGCTAATGACTCACCAAGAATATAGAACACAAAATAAAAGTGTTAAACTACAATATAGAAAAGCAGATTTTAAATGAATGTTTGGGGGTGTGTATGGAATTCAGTAGTAAAATCAGGGTCAGCTGTCCCAACTTGGTCAATAAAAAAGAAAGACTCCCACAGCCATAGAAGTTGAAAGTAAACTTCATTAAGGCCAAGTGGCTACAGAGTAGCAAAGCCAAATCTAGCATTTTGTGCCCAAACCAAGCCGTTAACTTTTCCCTTGGGATCCATCCCCCTCCCTGTTATCAGTGAGTGACCAATTGTTGTCAAATAGTTTTGGTAAAAGTTCCCAGCTGCATGGACTTGAAGGTATTACATTCCATTGGGTGACCTTGGAACAGGCTGCAGCTTCCATGGGATGATGAGAAGGCTTTTGTTTTCCTTTCCTCGTCTGTTCCCCCTTATTCACCCACCCCACAGCTCTCCCTCCCCCTGTTACTTATGACAGCCTGACATCTAGCTAAGTATGGCGGATACAGCAGGATGTCAGGTCTAAATCCTTGCATGTTTAGCAGCCACCCATTCAGTTTCTGAAGGAGGGAAATCCTTCCATAGGATCAAGTACTGGAGTTTTCCCCTGCGAACACAAGAATCCAAAAATTCCCTAACCTAAAAGTATTGCTCTCTCTCAATCAAAAGAGATATGGGGGGGGGGCTTTGTTATTTGGGCGCAAAGGAATTGGACTGCTGGACTGCTGTTTTTAATAAATTACAGTGGAATCTTTGGACAAGCTATGAAATGAGCCTGCTTGGAGAAAAGATCAGTCACTGTAAGGACCTGCCTCCTATGACCCTATCAAGAAAGCAGAACTCTCAAAACTGGCATAATTTCAACAGGAACCTTTATTGGCAGGTACCGACACAGCAGGAAATCTAGGCAGGATCTGAGGGCTTTCCTGCCGGAATCAATAGGTAAAACACCACCCCAACTGTCCATCCGGCTGGTTCAAACAGGCCACAGGTGATACTGTACTGTGGGAAATGGACCAATAAGGCACCACTCTCAGGGTTGATCTTCTGTTTCCTCCCTCTGCACTGAGATAAGGTAGATGGCCTGAGGCATTCCATTCACACCCAGAAGACAATATATCAAAGCAGATAGAGGAAGCCTTCTACTGCACTACAAAGCTACCCCTATCTCCCCTCCTGCCCCCTTAGGAGAATGCCAGAACCCGAACAGCTTAAACATAGAGAATATAGAGAATTATAAAAGTCACCATATTTCTGGAGCTCTTGGGTAATTCTACAATGAAGTCCATGGATATTTCCTTCCATGGGGCTGAGGGGTCAGTGACAGGTTGCACTGGCCATGAGTCTTTCCAGGTCTTTTTTTTTTTTTTTTGCAGTGACACATATATGGCAACTTGCTACATACTTTTCTATATCTTTTTTCATGCCTGGCCACCAAAATTGATGTTTGGTTAAATGCAGCTTTTTTTTTTTGAAGATAAGTCCTGCTGTTTTCGAGAGATGGCTCCAGTGGAGGACCATGGTTCTTTGGGTTAGGGGGACGTACAGTCAGGTTCCTACCCAGGCTAAATCATCTCGCCTGGTGACCTCCTTATGTGAATCAAACCTCTCATTGCCATTTAAAGTGCTTTGAAAGCATTTCTTACAGTAGGTCCTTCACATTTGCACTGCTTGGGGTTTTTTTGCAATCTAGTTAGAGTATAAAATACTGGATATTTAGTCATTTGGTAATTTTTTCAAGAGATAATTATATCAAGTTTGTAATTCTTCTGTTTAAAAACTATCTCTCAATAATCCTAAAATATTCCTTGAAATAACTGCAGTTTATTATTGATTGCTGCTTCAGTGTGAAAAATGCAAAAGATTATCAAGAAATACATGCAGTTAACACTTGCGTTTTTTTTTCTGTGCAGACCAGCTTAGAAGAGGAAGAATTTGTGAAAGAAGCTGCTTCTCAAGTGCAGGAAACATTTCAAGCCAGCATTTCAGTGGCATCCAACATCCTTGGTAATAAAATACTATGCATAGTTTGCTTATCCATAGATTAGTGTTTTTCAGATAGTACTGGGAGCACAATTGATTTTCTACCTAAAAGAAAGGTTTACATATTATAAAGCTTGTTCTCACACCAACTTGAGTACTAAAAACAGAAACAATGGTAAATTGATAGTTGTGATGGTATAGGAGTTCCTTATGGTGATAGAGAACACTACCTCAGAGATTATGAGATATGTTTTTATTAATTATAGGGTTAAGGTTAGGATTAAGGATAGGGTTAGGGCAGCGGTTCTCAACCTGTGGGTCGGGACCCCATTTGGGGTCGAACGACCATTTCACAGGGGTCGCCAAACAACGCAGTCCGCCATTTTTTTTCCTCTTTTCCTTAGCTGTGCTACTCCCTTTTATTCTATTGGCTTTTGAAAGCCAATAGAATAGACTCTCTTGAATAGAGTCTTAATTCTATTGGCTTTCAAAAGCCAATAGCAATTGTCCAGACTGTCTGCCCTGCTGAGCCCGCCAAAAGTCCCATTCTGCAAACGGTGCTGCAAGTTGTCTGCAGCGAAGACGAGCTGTCTGGAAGTTTCCACCCCTCCCTGCTGAGCAACTACTAAAAATGTAAGTAAAAGAGGGCCAGGGGTGGGAAGTGGGAGGCCAGTGGGCGCAAGGAGGGTTGCTGGCGCGCGTGGGGCCCAGCAGGTGCCTTACCTCCCTTGGGCTGGGCCAGATGGTGGCCCAGCCGGTGGTTGGCCTGCGCTGTCTCTGCCGCTTGCCAGCTATGTTTCGGCCGGCGCAGGGGGCGGCACCACGCATGCATGGCGCTCCCAGGCAGGGAAAGTCCTCGACTTACGACTGGTTGGGTAGTCCTTGACTTACGGCCGGTTGGGTAGTCCTCGACTTATGACCGGTTGGGGTCACGGCATTAAAAAGGTTGAGAACCACTGATTTAGGTTAGGGTTTTTAAAAAAATAACATTCTTAATATTTAGCAAAAGGCATATTGTCTGGGTTCATGTATTTAAAAAACTAAGTAAGAGTTAGTTTCTATATTATCATAATCAATATGTTAGTTAATCTCTCAATAGTCTTCTTCTTACTAGTATATATTCAATGTTACATAGTACACATTATATTCCTTTCTCTCTAATTCTCTTTTCTAGCCATTGATAAAAATTTTTCCATGTTCTAAAGTACACTGAGTCTTCTTTCTCTTTTATCTTTAATGTCAATCTGTCCATTTCTGCACAATCTAAAAAAAATTAATTTTTTTCCGTTGGTAGGTTTTCATTTTTCCAATATTGGGCAAATACAATTCTTGTTGCAGTTAATACATATAAAATTAAGTATATACAATCTTTCTCATAGTTTCCTCCTATTATGCTTAACAGGAACAATTCTGGCTTGAAATCTATATGTTTTTTAGTCATTTTTTCCAACCATATATGTATTTTTGACCAAAATCTTTTAGCTTTAAGGCATGTCCACCAGATATGACAATAAGTACCTGGTTTTTGTTTACATTTCCAATACTTGTTTGATGTATTTTTAAACATTTTTGCTAATCTCACTGGTGTTAGATGCCATCTGTAAAACATTTTGTATAGGTTTTCTTTGTAAGCCACCGCTTTCGTTAATTTAGCATTTCTTTCCCATAATCTTTGCCAGTTTTCTAATTCTATATTATGTCCAAAGTTCTTTGCCCATGTTATCATTGCTTCTTTTACTTGTTCCTCTTCCATCTTTAAGCTTAACAAATATTTATAGAGTTTCTTAATCAATTTTTCATCTGTTTTTAGCAGTATCTGGTCAAATTCTGTCTGTTCTTTATAAAATCCCATTGATTTAGCATCTTTTTCGTATCTCATTTGAATTTGCAAATATGGCCACTATGATAAATCAATACCTTGTTTCTGTAAATCTTGTCTGTCTTTCAGTTTCCCTTCATTGTCCAAAATATCTTTATAGGTCACAACTTTCTCATAGTTAATTAAATTTGGGTAAGCAAATGCTTCCATTGTTGAAAGCCATCCAGGTATTTTAATATAAATTTTCGCTTTTATTTTTTCCCATTCTAGAAGTGCATTTCTTATAAAATGGTTTTGAAAGTATCTATGTATTTTATTCTTCCCATACGACAGAAAGGCATTGCATCCAAATTGTAGGTCACGCCCCTTTCTAGATATAATAGTCTTTTATCTCTAAGCATTTATCCACTCTTTTAGCCATGTTAATGTAGTTGCTTGGTAGTATAGCGTCCAGTCTGGCAGTCCAAATCCTCCACTTTCTTTCGCTTCTTGTAACACTTTCAGTCTAATTCTAGCTTTTTTTCCTTGCCAGATATATTTCAGTATTGTTGTATTTAGTTCATCAAAAAAGATTATTCCCAGTCTTATGGGTATCGTCTGAAATAAAAGAGTATTTTTGGTAAGATATTCATTTTCACTGTTGCTATTCTCCCCAGTATTGAAAGTGGTAATTTTTTTCCACTTTTCCAGATCCAATTTTATTTGTTTTAACAATCTTACATAGTTGTCTTCTTTTATTGTTGCACATTTTGCTGTTAAATAAATTCCCAAGTATTTAACTTTTTTGACTATTTGAAGGTTTGTTTTGTTTAGCCCTTTTAATCTGTTTTGAGCCATTATTTTTGCCTCTATTAAATTTAATTTATGTTTTATTATCTCCATTTGCTTTTTAAGTATTTTCTTTTGTGGGACTATTTGTAGTTCTAATTTTCTAAATTCTTCCTTCAACTTTAACTGTTGTTGTTTTCTTTCTTTATTCTTTTTAGCAGTATAGGTTATACCCAACCCTTTGAAATATGCTTTACCTGTGTCCCACACATTTTGAAGTGACATCTCTTCTTCCTTATTTATTTTAAAAAAGAAGTTCATTTCCTTTGTCGCTAGTTGTATAAATTCTTTTTCTTTCAGTACAGATTTGTTCAAGGACCATCTTAATTTTTTCTTGGCTCCTCTCCAAGTCATCTTTATTGGATTGTGATCTGCCCAGATATTAGTTTCTATCTCTATATCTTGTATCATCATACTAAGTTCCGAGGATATCCATATCATATCAATTCTAGAGCATGATTTATGTCTATTTGAATAAAATGGATGTTTTTCTCTCCATATGTCTTGAATACAGAGTTCTTCTGCCATTTTTAAAAATGCTTTAGATAATACATTTCTTCCTTTCTTCCCTTGTTTAGTGCTTTTATAGTCCAAAGTTCCATCTATTATTGCATTGAAATTTCCCATTATACAAAAATTTTGATAGTCCAATTCTAATATTTTTTTATATAGTTTTTGATAAAATTGTTCTTGTTTATCATTTGGTGCATATATTGCTGCCATCAGTATCTGTTTTTGGTCCATCATTGTTTCTATCATTAATATTCTTCCTTCTTCATCCGCATAAATTTGTTTAGGCTTCATCATTTCTTCAATATATAGGGCTATTCCTCTTTTCTTTGTGCTAATGGAAAATGGAGTTTACCAATTTTCAGTTGTTCTAACAATTTATGGTGTCTCTTAATATGTGTTTCTTGGAGGCAAATTATATCTATTTTAAATTTTTGTAGTCATGTAAAAAAAAATTCCTTTCTGAGGGGGAATTCGGTCTGTTTATATTCATTGACCCCCTTTATGGATTACTGCCTTGTCGTGGCGAAGGGGCTTGCGTAACTCAATGAAGCTATAAGCTATGCCGTGCAGGGCCACCCAAGACGGACAGGTTATAGCAGAGAGTTCTGACAAAATGTGATCCACTGGAGAAGGAAATGGCAAACCACTCCAGTACGTTGCCCTGAAAACCCATGGACAGTTACTAAAAGAAAATAAAGATAGACGCTGGAAGATGAGCCCATGTCGGAAAAGGTGTCCAATATTGCTAACTGTGGGGGGGGGGGGGGGAAGAGCAGAGGGCTAGTACTAGTAGCGCCAGAAAGAATGAAGCGACTGGGCCAAAGCCGAAAGGATGCTCAGCTGTGGATATATCTGGTGGTGAAAGGAAAATCCGATGCTGTAAAGATTTTTTCTCCATAGGAACCTGGAATGTAAGATCCATGAATCAAGGCAAGCTAGACGTAGTCAAAAAGAGATGACAAGACTGAACATCGACATCTTAGGAATCAGCGAACTAAAATGGACAGGAATGGGTGAATTTAACTCAGATGACCATCAGGTATACTACTGTGGGCAAGAATCTCTCAGAAGAAATGGAGTAGCCTTCATAGTCAATAAAAGAATAGGAAAAGCAATACTGGGATACAATCCCCAAAATGACAGAATGATCTCAATTCGAATTCAAGGCAAACCATTCAATATCACAATAGTCCAAATCTATGCCCCAACCACTGGTTCTGAAGAGGATGAAATTGACCGGTTCTATGAAGCCCTACAGCACCTTATAGAATTAACACCAAAAAATGATGTCCTTATCATCATGGGGGATTGGAATGCTAAGGGAGGAAGCCAAAAGATAACCGGAATAACAGGCAAGTTTGGCCTTGGAGTACAAAATGAAGCAGGGCACAGGCTGATAGAATTTTGTCAAGAGAATACCATGGTCATAACAAACACTCTTTTCCAACAACCCAAGAGACGGCTCTACACAGGACATCACCAGACGGTCAACATAGAAATCAGATTGACTATGTGCTCTGCAGCCAAAGATGGAGAAGCTGTATACAGTCAGTAAAAACAAGACCAGGAGCTGACTGTGGCTCAGATCATGAGCTTCTCGTTGCAAAATTTAGGCTTAAATTGAAAAAAGTAGGGAAAAGCACTAGGCCACTCAGGTATGAACTAAATCATATTCCTGATGAATATACAGTAGAGGTGACAAATAGATTTAAGGAACTGGATCTGATAGACAGAGTGCCTGAAGAACTATGGATGGAAGTTCGCAACATTGTACAAGAGGTAGCAACTAAAACCATCCCAAAGAAAAAGAAATGCAAGAAAGCAAAATGGCTGTCTGAGGAAGCTTTGCAAATAGCTGAGGAAA